GCAGCTGCTTCTGTTTATTGTCTGTGGCACCATGGTTCATGCCCAGTCCTGTGATCTGTGCAGTCACCCTACCTGCTATGTGGAAACGTCATGAAGTCTTCTTAGATTCGGTAGGTAAGTGCCCATGTGTCCTTATGCTGCATGACAGTCAATTCAGTGGATGTCCTCGTGCACTCTGTAATAGCAGCTTCCTGCACCTTCTGGGAGCTGCTCATTAGAAAGCTCACTGTTTGCATCATCTGGTAGTGTGCGAGCATCTCCTTTGAGCATATCTTTCTCAGGGATGTGGTATTCTCAAGAAGCTGCCACTGTCCCTGGTTACAAATTGATGCACTCTGAATTACCCACTTGAAGCACACAAGATATCTATCCATTTGCATCCATGCGACACACCTTGCATGAAATAGGATTCAACAGATACAATGAACAAATCCTCCCTTTTCACAGCAAGAGGGTGATCTAGGTACATATAAATGGCAGTTTTCTGGCTGTGTAAATATTGCTTTTGCTGTTTACATGCAGGTACTGTGAATCTACTACCTCTGAAGTGTGGATACATAAGTGGGCATGCATAGTTTGCATGTATGCAGTAGGCTACTCATTAGCTATACAGATACATGGTTACAGACTAAGTCTTGGAAAAAGCCTGGGGTGGAGTCCTTCACATGTTTTAGTGTCAAGAGCTGAGTGACTTTGACACTTGCACAGGAAACAACATGTCAGAGGTTTAGGCCTCTCTTGCCAGGGTGGAGGAACAGCCAGTGCAGCCTGTGTGACTGCATCAGGACCCATGGCCTAAAGTAGGGGCCCTGATGCTAAAGTAGGTGCTTAGGGGAAAGCACCACCTCCCTTGGAAGTCCATTCCGTATTTTGGCAACCTTCAACGTAAAGAATTTCTTCCTGATGTCCAATCTAAACCTACTCTCCTTTAGTTTGTGGCTGTTATTTCTAGTAACCCCGATGGGCGCCCTGGTAAACAGAGTATCCCCTATTCCCTGCTGCCCCCTCCCCCCCCGATGAGTTTGTAGACAGCCACAAGATCACCTCTCAGCCTTCTCTTGCAGAGGCTGAAGAGATTCAGGTCCCTCAGTCTGTCTTCATAGGATCTCAGCTGCAGGCCCTCAACCATATGAGGAGACCTTCTCTGAACCCTCTCAAGGTTATCCACATCCCTCATTAAATGCGGTGCCCAAAACTGGACACAGTACTCTAGCTGCGGCCTCACCAATGCCACATAGAGGGGAAGTATCACCTCCCTATGTGCTCGTGATGCATCTACTAATGCAAGAAATGTCTTACTCTCCTACTCAGAGAACTTCTTCACAGTAAGCTCAGAAGGACAAATGAAGTTGTTCAGGATCTTAAATCTATATAAATGGCCCTCATGCCATTTCCCTGGTTAACTTATTTGAAGGCAAATTGGATTTAGGCTTTAGTGCTTGGAAAGGGCTTTGAAGATGTAAAAGTATTATTCATAGATTCATAGATGTAGGGTCGGAAGGGACCTAAGTAGATCATCAAGTCCGACCCCCTGCCCTGGGCAGGAGAGAATACTGGGCTCATATGACCCCAGCTAAGTAATCATCAAGCCTCCTCTTAAAGACCCCCAAGGTAGGAGCCAGCACCATGTACCTTGGAGGTTGGTTCCAGATCCTGGAACTCAGTGGGGGAGTCCTGGTCCCTGCACAAAAAAATGGAGGCAAAGAAATTGTTAAAAAGGTCTGACTTTTCCTGTGGTGCAGCCACCAGATTGCCAAGCATATCCTGCAGGGGCCCCACGTTACCCGGTGCTTTCTACATACTCCCTATTTAAAAAAGGACTTTTTGTTGGCCTTGATCCTAGCCCTAGTTCCATATCTGCCTTAGATTTCCTAACAGCCCCGCTGCAAGCCCGCGCGATGGAGGTATACTCGTTTTTGGTAATAGCCCCTCCCTTCCACTGGGTGTACGCCTCTTTTTTGGCTTTCATGCATTTCTGAATGCCTTTGGTGAGCCAGGGGGACTTTGGAGCACTCTTACCCCCTTTGATTCTGATTGGGACTGTCACCCCTTGGGCTCGGAGGATCGTCTCCTTAAGGAACGACCCCTCATCTTGGAAACCCAGTTCCCAGTGCCTCTCCTACCAATCTCCTCAACTTGTTGAAGTTGGCCTTCTTGAAGTCAAGGGCTACTGCCTTACTGCAGGCCCTTGACACCCTGCGCTGGATGGTGAATTCTAGCAGGTGATGACCACTGTCACCCAGGTGGTCAAGAACCTGGAGTCCCCTCACCAGGTCATCACCTGTGGACAGAACCAGGTCCAGGAAGGCATTCCCCCTGGTGGGACTGTGCACCTCCTGGGTTAAATGAAGGTCCTGCATCTCAGCAAGGAACTTTTGTGAGCGGTCCGCCCTGGCTGCCTGCTCCTCCCAGCAGATGTCCGGGTAATTTAGATCACCCATGATGACTACATCCCTTGCCTTAAGTGCTTCCGCAAGCTGGCCTGAGAATTCATGGTCCGGCTCTTCCCCTTGGTTGCGTGGTCTGTAGTAGACCCCCACCATTAAGTCCCTTTCCCTATGACCCCCCTGTATTCTGACCCAGAGCACTTCAGCCCGCCCCTCCTCGGACCCCATCCTGTTAGTTGAGGATGTGTATTGCTCTTTGAAGTAGAGTGCCACACCCCAGCCTTTCCTCCCCGTTCTATCCCGCCTGTATAGTCTGTAGCCCCTAATGTTTACTGCCCAGTCATGGGATGAATCGCAGGAGGTTTCTGTGAGCCCTACTATGTCTGGGTTTCTCCTAGCTATCCGGAGGGCGGGTTTCTCCTGCTTATTTCCTATGCTACAAACATTAGTGTAGAGGCATTTAAGGCCTTGTATTGGTGCATGCACCCCCCCCCGCCCATTTCTTAGAACTATCCAGACTCCCGTCACTTACTAAAACCCATTAAAATCAATGTTGGTCTTCCTGCTGCATTTCATAGGCTGCGAATAATGAGGCTGTACAAAAACTAAGTAACAGTTTAATAACTAGGTAGAGTGAGACTTTTTCAAAGCCTTGTGTGTATAGGACATGTATCTTTCACTGCATTGCAACTAGAGCGAGGTGTTCTTATGGGCTTCTTTGAAAAATCCCAGCCTTAGTTACTACTTCTGGAAGTAATTTATAACATGTTGATAAAAAGTCACCATTTTTGTCTATGAAGACTGTACTTTAAGCTACAGAAATAATGAGAAAGACTTATCTGTCTTCCTTTATTGAAGTTTCATAAAAATACCCAAATACACTACAAACAGGTCATAGTACAAATCCATTCCCCCAAGCTCTAGTGAAAAAGAGCAGTTATTCAGTTAAAATTCACGTTTAGATTTAAATGCAGGATTATGCCATGAACTTCAAAACTAAACACAGAGCTGTAGACTCTGATTCAATAAGGTACTTAAGTTAGGCAGGTAGATAAATCAACTGATTTTCATAAAACTACTCACTTACTTAAATACATCCTGC